GTTGTTAGTTATTTTAATAACAAAAGAAAATCGACTCTGTATATTAAAAAATAATATATAAAAGTTTTTTTTTCCTAGCAGTTAACATTTAAGTGCGACGGTGTCCAGTCGTCAATTCTTCAGCAAAAAACACAACAGGTTTAGAAGTCAAGTCAATGTCCTGATTTTTATTTTTATTTTTTCATCAAAATATAGAGTTAAGTAAATGTTGGATATATAAAATTATTACAACTGAACATTGGGTACCGGTGTATTTAATATTTATAGGCACTTAACTTATTGAGATAGGTGTTTTACTTGTATTTATAGAAAAATAGTTAAATGTTAAGTATAAAAATATATATTTATTATCTTATCAAGAATTGAGTATAAGGGTTGATACTTATAATATACTTGATTCATGCTATATATTTTCTTATATCTTCTTTTATAAGTTGGTTTTGTTTCTACCTCTTGAGAGTGAGAAAATTCGGTTGAATCTTAATTATAAAGATAATTAGCAATATATGAGTATATTTTTGAATTTTAAACTAAAATATTTTATTAATTATGTAGAAGTAGTATTATAATTTACACAAATATTATTTAACTATGCTAGCATTTTGTAATATAATAATCATATTTTAAGTTTAGGCTTAATTTTGTAATATAATGTAATGAAACTAGACCGGTTATTCTCTTTTTCTTCATGTAAGGAAAATTCTAATGAAGGAAGATTTTATGCAGTTGTGTTTGTCTATATTCTATTATATGTATAAACTTGTATATGTGTAAGTGTGTGCACTTGCATATTTTATTATATGTATAAACTTGTATTTCAACTTATTTACTTTGTTATAAGTATGAACTTATGTATTTTCTTATGTATATGTATTAGGTTAAATACTTTTTTTTGGTCCTTCTACTATAGGAAAAAACTCCTTTTTAGTCCCTGTACTGAAAAAATCTCCTTTTTGGTCCTTATTGTTTGAAATCTAACCTCTTTTTAGTCCCTCTGTTAAGTTTTGGCTGATGTGATAGGTTAATTAATAGAAAAACTTATTTTTTTTCTTTACTTAAATTACGTGGAAAATTCATCTGTAAAAATTGATGACATGGCAAAATTTTTTGTCTAATATAACCTAAACAATCATTTAATTACATAATTACCATTATAAATATTTTAAAAGTTATTTTGTGAGACTTTAATTACTAATTTACCTTCATCTTCTTCCCCCTTTTGTCTAATCCTCTCCTTCCTCCGGCCTTCCTTTTTTTTTTTTTTTTTTT